ATACCATTCTATAATAAATAGACACAGTTAGACAGAAATCAATGCATCTGAAAGTAGAGAGGGAAGATCAGGCTTTGCTAAGAAAGCTGCTTTTTGCTCTACGTCAGCAATCTAGATGGCTGAGTCCAGAAATCTGCCAGCATATCGTGTTCAACCTGGGACTTTTTATTGCCGGGCTTATTTCTTGCCCTTTCTGGTCTGGTCTGTAATGCTCCAGGCTGTTTCCAGCCTCCTGGGTGAGCTGAGGGCCAGCTGAGTTCAGCCAATGAGATGCACTGCCTGGAGAGTGGGAGAAGACAGGAGGAGTGCATTGTATTCGTTCTCCTCTTTCTCTGTCCTTCCTGGCATCTCCATTAGCAACTCAGACTCCTCACTGGATTTGGCTCCTGCCAGACAGACCAGCCAATGGTGTAGCATCTGACCGCTTGTCTTTTGGTCCTTTCCTCCTGGGGGGAGTAGTGCCTTCCTGCTTTTGCTCATCTCAGGATGGCCTCACCAACCCCTATTTGGCCTCTCCGCTTGCTCATCTCCCGTGTAACCAATTCCTTTCATTCAAGTCTCTCTGACACTTGGACTACTTGAAGTGATTTTTGTTTCCCTGACTAGAAATCAGTGATACTTTTGAAAAGTTGAATTTTCAGTTGTAAACTAAAGATATTGCATACTACGTCAAACAGATGGGAAGCATAGCAGGAGGTCTGATTGGGACTTGAGAAAAGTCTGATTCCCTGGGCTTTTCCCCAACATCTGCAGCGGTTCTCAACCTGTGGGTCGTGACCCCTTTGGCGGTCGATCGACCCTTTCACAGGGGTTGCCTAAGACCATCCTGCATATCAGATATTTACATTACGATTCATAACAGTAGCAACATTACAGTTATGAAGTAGCAACGAAAATAATTTTATGGTTGGGTCACAACATGAGGAACTGTATTTAAAGGGCCAGAAGGTTGAGAACCACTGAAATGTAATATACTCCCTAGGGAAGGGGTGATTATTTCCACTGTAAAATGCAGCTGGCATGCATCCTGAGAAAAGAGGGGAGTTTAAAATATATATATGTTTTTATTGATTTTAGAGAGAGAGGAAGGGAGGGGAACGAGTAAGAGAAACACTGATGAGAGAGAAAAACAAACAGAGAGGGGATTGAGCCCACAACCCATGTATATGCCCTGACCAGGAATCAAACCAGCAACCCTTTGGTACATGGGACGGAACTTCAACCAACTGAGCCACACTGGCCAGGGCGAGAGGGGAGTTTTTTTTGTTGTTGTTGTTTTTTTAATCCTCACCTGAGGAAATTTTTCCATTGATTTTAGAGAGAGTGGAAGAGAGAGGGAAAGACAGAGAGAAAAATCAATGTGAGAGAAACACATCCATTGGCTGCCTCCTGCATGCGCCCTGACCCGGGCTGGGCTGGGGAGGAGCCTGCAACTGAGGTATGTGCCCTTGACCAGAATCGAATCCGGGACCCTTCGGTCCGCAGGCCGATGCTCTATCCACTGAGCCAAACCGCTAGAGCTAGAGGGCAGGTTTTAATGCTCCTTCCCCAGGCCATTGGCTTGAATAGTCTTGGTTCTTCTTGTTCAGAAGGATGTAATCTACACGTTAGTAGCTCTTCCAAATGGAACTCTCTATTACTATTATCCTGTTCTCTCTCCACTTGGATACATTAGGAGTGCATAAATGTCTTTGGAGCTTGGATTGCTGGTTCATCTTGACCTGGCAAAAAGAGTTTACTTCACCTAGGTGGGTTGGACTAGGAGGTGGATATAGTAAGTAAATGAGATTTGGATTGCCTCCTTATAGGGAGGAGGGGAGTATGACAGTGAGGTTCTGAAATTGAAAATATGGGAAAAACAGTATGTGTGGAAATAGAGCAGCCAGAAAAGGATAGTAGATATTTGTGGTCTTCTTCCCTGACTTACTTCCTTCCTTCCTCCCTTCCTTCCTTCCTTCCTTCCTTCCTTCCTTCCTTCCTTCCTTCCTTCCTTCCTTCCTTCCCAATCCTCTCTCTCTCTCTCTCTCTCTCTCTCTCTCCTTCCCTTTCTTTCTGATAATAGCAATTTGTTTTCCTTTGAGAAATCACCTCTTTTCCACTCTTAGCCCATATGGTTTGATGGTGTTAACACTGTCTCTACCTCTAGAGATAGGCATTTGACTCAGGCCTGGCCAATCCAAACATTGCACCTTCCTGACCAAAATGATTGTCCAGGATGGGCACATGCCCTAATCAAAGCCTGTGAAATGCGAAGTTGTAACTTTTGGAAGGGAAGCATTCACTATTGTTCATGCTGGACTTGAAGTTGGGAGGATGTCAGTCTGGCATTTCTAGCAACCATCTCACCACCGTGAGAGACGGGCCTGCCTGAGAATGCTGCCAACACACCGGGAGGCAAAGGTGAGAGACAGAAAAGAACCAGTTCTTGATGACTTTGTGGACCTGCTGGATTCAGCTGTGCCAAAACCCAGAACTAGCTCCTAAACTTTTGAGCTACGTTAACAAGTAAATTCCTTTCTTTAAGCTTGTTTGGGATGTTTTCTTCCTTCCTTCTTTCTCCCTCCCTCCTTTTCTTCCCTTTTCTGAAAGCACCCTATGAAAGCTTCTATATACAGAATATCCCCCCAAAATGTATGCACACTTAACAGCTGATAGCTCAATTGATGTTTCTTACTTTTCAGATGTAATCCATTGGAATTAATAATTATTCAAAGTGTGTATACTTTATATAAAAAATCAATATATTTATGCACAACCTGGAACTAAAGATGAATTAAATTTGGTAAAAAGAAAATTTAAAATACTATTTATACAAACAATGAAAGCTCCCTCTTAATATTACTGCATTCAGATCAGGGACAACAGCATTTGGTTTTTAAGATCTATGGTCTCCCTGCCAGCATGGCTCAGTGGTTGAATGTGGACCTATGAACAAGGAGGTCAGGGTTCAATTCCCGGTCAGGGTACATCCTCAGGTTGTGGGCTCCATCCCCAGTGTGGGGCATGCAAGAGGCAGCCAATCAATGATTCTCTCTCATCATTGATGTTTCTCTCTCTCCCCCTCTCCCTTCCTCTCTAAAATCAATAAAAACACTTATTAAAAATAAAAATCTATGGTCAATATGTTTCCTTAATTCTCATGATATAATGTTTTAATCATGTTATTGTTGCCAATGAGGTTGATACTAGGGCACTACCGTACTTTTCCTATTATAAGAATTTAGGAAGCATATTTAAAAGATGTTACATTATCCTTTAAAACTCATAAAAAACTTGTTAATGTATTACCAATGGAATGCACTACTGAAAGTAAGTTTTCTCCTCCCATGTAGGCAAATATTTTCTTTATGAAATTCTATGATCTCACAGGGAAATATAATATCACATTTAATATCACATTCAAGCTTGCCTTTCAGGACTTGACTTGTATTCAGTCAGTGGGCACCTAAATTGACATTGCCCTTCTGTTTGTTTAAGTGACTTCTGGCCTATTTATGATAAAATCTCATTTTCATAGAATTTCATTTTTATGGCAATGGCTGCTTTGTAAAATAAAATTGACTGCCAGTAAGAAATTTTTTAAAAGGTTAAGTGAATTTTTATTTTAAAAAAAAATGATACTATTGAGTCTTTTTTGGTTAATTTTTCACTTAGTTTTGGGGAAAAAAATCAATTGCAGAGTTTTAGAGTTGGAGAGAAATGGTGATCTATTTCCACCTCACAACCTCATTTTTTGGGTGAGGAAATGCAGCTACAGAGATATAAAATGGAAGTAGTGGAGAAAACATTTAAGAATTTGAACTGCCTTTGGCAACCACAGAATGGGTAGAAACTGAGCTGTTCTTTTTTTTTGTTGGTTTTGCACTTAACTTTTATTTTCTCATTCCCTTTCTCGGATCTACTTCCATGGGTAGGAGGTGGGATTCATGGATCATTTTAGAATTATATATTTCTTTCTAATAATATGAATTTATTGATGTCGATTTTGTTTACTATCTAACCTTCCAGAATCATTGGAGAGTGACTATATAAAATGTCAATTCTTATTATTGCTCCATTAACAATGCTAATAAGAAGGATAATGTCACAATCCTTTTGGCAGAGGGCAGAGGGACAATGGAATTCTGGCAATATATTTCAACAGTAGAGCAAGAAAATTTGGTTAGAATAGTTCCTTTGCCTCCTACAAATCCCATCGTTCTTCAATCTCTTTAACTCTCAAGAACTATGCACAGTGAGGCTATGTCTACCTGGCCCTGTGTTCACTCAGCTACACAGCAGGCCATGTAAAGGCCCACACCTTGCCTGAGAGTTAGGCAGTTTTTCTTCAGTACTTACTAGTTGCATGGCCTGCAGAATAGAATAGGTGTATATATAGGATCTTAATGAAGTAAAGAACAGTAAAATTAGACAAGTCAGCATTTCACTGGTGTTAGAAACTTCCCAGAGAATAAATTTGTCCATCACTATTAATAGTTCTTTGAACTTTCGGTGATGTAGCAGCAACATTGTCGGTGACTGAAATTCTGATTTCATACAAGAAAACCACTTCTGAATTTTTAAAAACTATTTTTTAACACATAAGATTACACGCAATACAAAATGCTGTTTTACAAGTTGAAATCTTTACAGTTATGGGTACAGTTACAGTAATGCAAGTAATATTAGTGCATTCACATAGAGCAGAGTTATTTATCTTTATTGGGCTAACACAAAGCCGAGAATGAATTATTTGCTTGAATTGCTTTCTAGTCTTTGAATTAAAAAAGAAAAACTACTTCTACCTCCTTTATACTATTGTCAGAATGAGAAACATTGCCAACAATTACGTACTCTGGTATTTCTATAAATGAGAGATCGTATTCCAATAGTTTTTAAGTTGTAAGTCGTCAAGTTTTGGCTACGTATGTCTATCGAATTGTCATTATCTCAGCTTTCAGGAAAAATTATGTCATCTTTGGTAATAGGCTGCCAACAAACAGAAACTGTAGACTACACCATTTTTTTCCAAAGAATCCTGTATTTTAATGAATAGCTGAATAAATAGACATTAATTATAAAATTCACATTACGATAGAAGAAAATCCAAACATTCTGATTGCTTTATCTCTTAAATTTGATAGCTACTACAAAACATACTATTTATGTTAGGGTAAAAATAAGCTGAGTCACGGGAGTGTGATGGGGAAGTGCTGGCGGATATATACAGTAACATGGAGGAGCCATAAAATAAAAGTGTTTCTATGTACATAACTTTTCCTTACATTTTTGCATGGAGAAACTCTGTTCTACAAAATGGGAAAACACACAGTAGACCACATGCAACAAGGACCAATACAATGTGCACAGCAGAATAATCAAACAAGACACAAGAACTAAGGGAATTTTGGAGCAAAAAAGGAAAAAAAAAAAAAAGGAAAGGATTGAAACCTGGAATGCTTTTTTCTTATTGAGGTTTCAGAATATAACTTTGTCTAATAAGCCTCCTGATAGTTTTTAAAAGTTCCCACTTCACCGCCTATGGATTAAGTGTGGAGCTAAAAATAAACCATCATATTATACAAAACTTTGTATATTAGCATACAAAAGGTAACAATTTACTTTTTGTATAAAATATAACCTTTTGATAGTATATTTATTTCACATACGTATAAATATAACCCAAAGAATATGTTTTAAGTATTTCTACCAAAATATTCTTTACAAAAGTTTACAAAACAAGTAATTCATTTATATTTACAGCCTGGCACAGAAAAGACTCTGGGCCAGTGATGTTGCTGTGTGTAAAAGAGGGTGCTTCTAGACATTTGAAAGAATGGGAGAGGGTTTTGCAGAACTTTCAAAATGTATTCTTTTTAAGAAAGAATCTATGTAAAGATTTAGTTGTTAAATGACTTCAGATAAATTACATTTGATAATTGAGTATGTGAGTATATAACTAAAAAAGCGGAAGCTAACCTGTGTTCCTCTGTAATGAGGAAAATGACAGCGGTATTTTGCAGCCCTCTCAAATCAGCACACATCTTCCCCATTTTACAGCTGATCTGCATGTGGGCACTGAGGTTATGTGACTCAACAGAAACTCTTTCTTTGAGACAGTGCCGAGCCCTGAGGGAGCAAACCAGTCCATCTAGCTGGGGGCAATGATTCTTCCCTTCAGGGACAGAGGAATGAGTAGACTGCTACTAGGAGATCACACTCCATTTAGCTGTTTACCTACACAATACATCCAAATAAGGTTTGCTTATTTTCTCTCTCAATTATGCTTCCCTTCAAAACCCTATGAAATAGACTTGTACCGACCCATACTCACCATCCCTGGTCTGATCTTTTGCTTCTTATCTTCAACCAAAACATGATACCTAGTAATCTCAGTTTTGATCCCAAAACTTCCTTTCCTTACAAATCAGTCTCTGGTCATCAAAGTAATCAGGGAGGATCAGACTCAATTTCACTCAGCTTGGGAACTAACCAGCAGGGACCATTATAATAAGTAACATCCCATGTTATCTGTGGCCAAATAAATCTCCTTTACAGCAATGCCCAATGGGTGCTTTCTTTTTAAAATAGTGAAAACTGATGTAGACATGTGCACTAATATTTCAGTATGATTCGGACAGGTGATTGTATCTAAGACTTGGACACGGATTCAGAAATTGGCTGTGGAAGCCCAAATAGAGTTGGACAGCTCTACATTCAGGCTTCAATGTTTCCTCACTAGCCACAGCATCTTACTGAAGTACAGGATATGTGGGGAAGATATTTCACAATTCCCTGAATGTTCTCTAGGTCCTCCAGCTTTTCTTTACTCAGGACAGTGCTTGGCTACTGCAAAAAACCTATAACATTTCAATCTAGGAAATTTTAGAAAAACTAAATGAAAAGGTAAAGTGGAAAGATCAAACCACACTTGTATCTATTAGAGCAAATTAAGGAATTTGTTGCTTGTTGCTTGGAACTAATACCTCCGCATGACATGGGGTTTAAACGAGCTAAAAGTTGTATTACTTTTCTTTCAGGGAGAAAAGGAGCTTGGGCAACCTATGTTACACCGCTAATTACACATCAACATCACAGTTCTGTTTGGATCAATTGGATACTATGTCCTGGAGTTTAGACAGGGAGAAGTGATCCCAACGTTTTACTTTCAGGTTTGAGATTTAAAACAAGCATTTGGACCAAAATGTTCACTGCTTTCTGCTTTCCATTTCTAAGCCACGGTATCTTGATGTAGCCCAACGAAGAGTCAACAGTTGGCCTTTCCAGGGTCCTTGTAAAATACTGCCTTTTAGTGCTTGGAGTTGGTGAATTGTCTCCCTTTTCTCCTTTAGGAGTTGTTCCCCAAGATTTCATCAAGATTTATGTCTTTCATCCAGTCATCATTACCAGGCTCTGTCTTCAGCAAAGAGTCAATGAAATCAGCATCACTGTTGAGGGCAGGGCCCATGTTATCAGTCTGTTGGCTGAGAAAGTCAAAAGCTAAGTCACTGCCATGGTCAGTTCCTTGAAAAGCCCTGGAACTTTGGTTGGGTGAGGGAAAGTTGCCAGGTGTCAGAGACGGTGGCTGGCTTATGCCTGTCCTTGGCTGACTCAACCCTGTTCCTGACTGATTCAAATTAGGCAAAACCTGTGTGCCCAGCTGATTGGGTCTGAGATTCAGACTTCTGAGTGGGCCCATGGTTTGTCCATTCAATGTCTGGCCCATTTGGTTCATAGGTCTCATTTGCACCGTTGGTGTTATCTGATTAGGAGGAGCCACTGCCCTCTGGGAAAATTGTTGGCTACCTACCGCCTGTTGCAAGGTCTGGTTTGGAGTATAGGCTGCAGGTGTACCTGTGGGGAAGCGGGCTCCTGCGGACTTCAGGGCTTCCTGCTGTTTGGTTGTCGCTTCTTGGGAGGCCCAGTTTGGTGCTGTTGTGTTGGATGTGATCATTACGTTCGGTGTTCTCTGGGCTGGCATGCTTCCCATAGTATGGGTCAAGTTTGGTCTCAGTTGTTGTGAATTGCCAACAGGTCCCGTTGCAAAAGTGGCCACATTATTATTACTAGTTGGCCCTAAGGTAGGTGGCCGTGGCATGAGAGGGTTGTTTTGATTTGCTATCAATTGGTTTGGGTTTCTCTGCTGGGTCAATTGATTCATTCCTGACGTGACACTGTATGTGCCAGGTTGATTGCAAGGCAGATTCCCGTACATCCCCATGTTCTGAACCGCTGTGGATAACGATGGCATTCTTGTTCCATGGGAAGTAGACATGAGGCTGGAATTTGGAGTTAAAATGGTGTGTGTTGAAACTGGGTTTGTCAAAGTCTGGTTAGAGTTTAAACTCACTGTTGATGAGCCACCTACGGAAAAGAAGATAATTATATTAATTCATAGCAGTAGGTTATCTCCTCTTTTTTAGAACTTTGCAATAACTTATCAAGGCCAAACCTATCACCTTGAAAATTATGTCCAATTCTTCAACTGTATTATCCCTACTCAAGAAGTCGCCACGAGGGGCTCCTGTGTGTGGCCAGAGGGTAAATTCCCATCTCTTTAAACATCTGGAATTCAATGCAATCAGTATTCCTGTGGTTATTTCCATACGGAAAGCCTTCTGCTCCAGGAGGTACAGTTACTATTGCACTGTTATCCATACACCATGAGCTCCCTTTGCTCATGCCATTTCCCTCTCATCTGATGTCCTTCTTGCCTCACTGAGCCCTCTCTGTTCTTCAAGGCTCAGGCCAAGGTTCTTCATTAAACTTCCCCCGATATTCCAGCCTCCTCACTCCAGTAGCATTTGCTTTTTAAAGTTTTAACTTAGCACTTAGCCTTTGTATTGGGAAATCCATGGAGCCTCAAAGGACCTGTCAGCTACATTGATGCCTGTCAATAAGTGATTGGATGTGGGACCACCCAAGGATGGGCCGCTGAACGGAGAGGCTCCACACATAAGATAGCGATTAATCAACACATTGGAATCTTCCTGGCTTAGGGAGATTCAAGTCATCATTGGAAGACATCTTGAGAGGCAAAAGTGAGATGTCAGGAAGATTTTTTTAAAGTGTGTGCTGGATGGTAAGTTCCACAAGGGAAAGAATTTTTGGCTGTTTTGTTCACTGTCATATTCTCCAAGTCTAGTGGACGGTGCAAAGTAGGTAGTCAATTGATATCTTTTGAATGAATGAATGAGTGAATGAGAGATTGAAGCAAAGATGTAACTTGGAGAGAGATACTCTTTTAAAGTACTCTCCCTCCAGAGAATCAGAGATATTGAGAAACAGAGAACTGGACACACATATGACTATCAGAATGGCATGAGGAGAGCACGGCTGCCATTGTAACCCTAGGCCAGTGATGGCGAACCTATGACACACGTGTCAGAGGTGACACGCGAACTCATATTTTTTGGTTGATTTTTCTTTGTTAAATGGCATTTAAATATATAAAATAAATACAGTGGGGCCTTGACTTACGAGTTTAATTCGTTCTGTGACGGAGCTCGTAACTCAAATTACTCGTATGTCAAATCAAAAAGTGAACGAGTGAGACACGTGATGCTGGGCTGATATTGTGGCGTTCACTGTGACGTTCGCTGCGCCAACTAGTGGGGTATTTGAAGCTGGCTCATAATCCGAATTTTAGCTCGCAACTCAAAGCAAAAAACCGGCCGAGAGACGGCTCCTATCTCGAAAAACTCGTTAGTCGGGACACTCGTAAGTCAAGGCCCCACTGTACCAAAAATATAAGTCTTTGTTTTACTATGGTTGCAAATATCAAAAAATTTCTATAAGTGACACTGCACCAGAGTTAAGTTAGGGTTTTTCAAAATGCTGACACGCCGAGCTCAAAAGGTTCGCCATCACTGCCCTAGGATATCCCCTATTGCTTGAGTATGGCTAGCATGGTATTGCTAGACAGATGGCCTTGCTATTTGTTTTAAAATATGCCTCCAACTTCAGGGGTCCTCAAACTTTTTAAACAGGGGGCCAGTTCACTGTCCCTCAGCCCGTTGGAGGGCCGGACTATAGTTTTAAAAAAAACTATGAACAAATTCCTATGCACACAGCGGCGGCAAAAACACCTGGCAGGCCGGATAAATGTTTTCGGCGGGCCGCATGTGGCCGTCGGGCCGTAGTTTGAGGACCCCTGAACTAGATGATACACCCCTCGAAGGCAGGACCAGTGTCCTGTATCTCCAGGCTTAGCACGGGGCCCTGCCCTGTGTAGGGCAGCAAATGTTTGATGAAGAGGGACCAGAGTCCGGTAGGAGATACTTGAACAGTACCTCAGAGTCCACAGACTGCTAACGAGGTTAAACAACGTCATCTTGGCATCTGAAGGTTTCATGAGAAGGGACTTTACACTATGAAAATGCAATGGAAACAAATGTAGAGGTCTTAAAAATCATTCCCTCTGTGTGCGCTCTATTTTAACCATATGCCCTGAGAAAGTTTATGAGAGCAGTATTTTTAAACAACCAGACAGAGAGAATTTCCATAAAGACCACAAAATATTATCTGCAATTAATATTTAGAAGCACCTAATATGTGGTAGAAATCATTGCAGGTGCTTTCCATGCATCTTTTCTCATATTAACACCTGGGCAAAGTGATTATTATTATATTGAGATTAAGATAAAAATGATGAAAGAGTTGGTGCTGTGCTTGTTGATTACTTCATTCTCTGAAGACTCGGAAGTACAATGCTCTAGAGCAGTGATTCTTACCCACTCGGGGATCAGCAGTTGGATGCTGAGGGAAATGCCCATATGCACTGTGGAAGAGACTTCTAAGTGCCTACCACACTTCCAACTGCCCCGTCTTCCTTAGAAACAGAGCCTTGACTTTATAGTAATATTCTCAGCTGAAAAAACACATTTCCCATACTTTCTCATGGGGTGGGGGTCCATATGAATAAATTTTGGTTAAAGGTAGCAGTTATTAGGTGAGAATCTAAGAAATCTATTTTTTAAGAAAAATGTTTTTATTGATTTGAGAGAGAGGGAGGGAGAGAGAGAGAAAGAGAGAAACATTGATCAGCTGCCTCCTGCACACCCCCTACTGGGGATTAAGCCCACAACCTGGGCATGTGTCCTGACCAGGAATTGAACCAGTGACCTCTTGGCATATGGGGCAATGCTCAACCAACTGAGTCACAACTGGCTGGGTTAAGAAATCTATGTTTAAAAGGGAATCTCATTCATGTTCATTGTAGCATTATTTACAATCGCCAAGATATGGAAGCAACCTAAGTGTCCATCGATGGACGAATGTGTAAAGAAAATGTGATATATATATATGGTTGGGCAAACGTAGGTTTACAGTTGTTCATATGAAAAATAATACAATAATTAATACACGAATAAACCCTGTGTTTTGCATACCCACAACTGTAGACCCATTTTTGCTCCACCTTATACATATACAATGGAATACTACTTAGCCATAAATAAAGATGAAATATTGCCATTTGTGATAATATGTATAGATCTACATGAAATAAGTCAGATGGAAATGGACAAAAGCCATATTTCATGCATATGTAGAATATAAAACAAAAAGTAACATACATACTGACAAAACAAAAACAAACTTATAGATATAGACAACAGAATGGTGGTTACCAGAGGGGAAGAGATTTGGGAGGGATGAGAAAATGGGGCAAAGGGGGTCAAATAAATGGCAATGGAAGGAAACTAGACTTTTGGTAGTGAGCACACAGTAAAGTATACAGATATCAAATACTGTTGTACACCTAAAATGTATATAATGTTATTTATCAATGTTACCTCAATAAATTAAAAAAAAATTTTAAAGGGAACCTGACATATTTGGGAGGCCATGTTACTTTTCCCTTCTTCTATGTTTTTATCTGGAATATGGATATGAAGGCTGGAGGTGTGGTGGACACACCAACCCTTAGTATAGAAGCTCCATGCTAAAGAAGGTGGAGCAGAAAAACAAGGAAGCCTGGGTCCCTGATAACATAGTAGAGCCACCAAAGGAGCCTTAGACTACTATCCCTAGGGATTCGTTTAAGTCAGTGGTTCCCAAACTTATTTGGCCTACCGCCCCCTTTCCAGAAAAAATATTACTCAGCGCCCCCTGGAAATTAATTTTTTTAAAATTTTAATAGCAATTAAACAGAAAGATATATGTATTAATGTTTCTACCTTTTTCGTAAAATATAGTAAAGAAAGGTGTAAATTAGAAACATTGAAGTTTGAAATTATGAAACTATTTATTGAACTCAGAATAGAAAGGTAATACAAAAAAAGTTAAAACAAATGCACCTGTGGCCATCACCGCCCCCCTGGATCGCTGCAATGCCCACCAGGGGGCGGTAGCGCCCACTTTGGGAATCACTGGTTTAAGTGAATGGGAAAAGAAAAGCCCAAACATCCACCTTGAATTTTGTATAATATTTATTTTCCATAAAACCACTGATAGGCCATGGATGGTATTAGAAGCCATGCTCCAAATAAACCCTATCCTGTCTTTTTTTAAAAATTATCTTTATTGTTGAAAGTATTGCAGATGCCCCCCTTTCATCCCCACCACCACCTTCACCATACTACCATCTTGTCTTTCAACCTTCTCGAGGACAGAATCAACTAGAGAATCCTACTTTCGCCGAGGCAAAGTAATCTAGAGAGTAAAATACATATATCCCTTTCGCAATTTTAGTGGAGAGAGGCAATCTGGTGCATTTGAAAAAGTTGACATAAATTAGAACAACATATTTATAACAGGACCAGAAAATGTTAACACATAGGATTAGTCACAGCTCCTTTGTCTCTAGACAACCTTCTTTATGGATTCCTGAACGATGAAAGTAACAGGTAAAGCAGAGAGAATTTGGGAAACTCCAAGACAAACTTAATTGACATAAGGAAGTGCAGCGAGTTCTGGGCAGCAGGGATTTGAATAGATGATGAATAGGAGAAGGCAGGGCCAGCACAGGCTAGGTTTTGGAGTTCAGACAGTAAGAGCAGAGAGATTTTAGGGGTAGTGCCTATCACCTATGTTATATTGAGAGATTTATGAAGTTTTGTATTTGAAATGCAATCACCTTTGGTATTTTAAAGAGATTTCATAAAAACATAACTTGCTTTTTTAAAAAAATGTTTTTATTGATTTCAGAGAGAGGAAGGGAGAGCGAGAGAGAGATAGAAACATCAATGATGAGAGAGAGTCATGGATTGATTGCCTCCTGCACATCTACTACTGGGGATCGAGCCTGCAACCTGGACATGTACCCTGACCAGGAATCAACCATGACCTCCTGGTTCATGGGTTGATGCTCAACCAGTGAGCCACACTGGCTGGGCTAAACTTGCTTTTTAATTATTTCTTGGTGGCAGGACTATCTGTATTAGGGACATGAGCCCAAAGGTGGAGAGAAAAAGATTGGGCTTTAAGCAAATCACAAATGTGACTCAGAAAGAAATGTCTACTTACCTTACAGTATGTTGGGAGGAGAATGGTTGAACCTAGCAGTTAGAAAATATTTAAGTTTTTTGAACTCTCAGAGGTAGTCTAAGAGCAGTGAAATATGTGAATACAGGACAAGAAATATGTGAATACAGGATAAGATTAAGCAAGAAATGATGAGAAAACTACAAATATTCAAGTTTGGTCTGGTGATGAAGTAGTCTAAGAAAGATGTTACAATTAAATATAAGATGGGGAAAGGAGGAAATAGTAAAAACTGAACATTTTTCTTCTTCTCACAGTCACAATTTCTATTAATTTTTGAGAACACTTACCAGAATATTGAGCAGTTGGTTGCATGTTCCCCATATTTCTTCTTTGGTCTTTGTAATCTGGGGGTGGCCTTGTCAAATGTCTGTTTATCTGATCTTGTGAAGAAATTTTCTCCTTGAAAACACAAACGAAAACATATTGAATTGCATTGTTACTTCGTCATTTGTAAAAATTTATAGACTGTTATTCAAAAAAGAATATGAGAACAATCTTCAGTCATAGCTATGAATCATGGACCTTATTTATTAGCTCAATTCAGAGACAAATCCTTTTCCATTTCAATGAACTTGTATGGAAGTGCAACTTCTACTTTCCTTAACGTCTGACATGTGTTTTAGGTGTAGTAACTACTCTTATTTCCTTTATTTTGCAATTAGATTTTGATGAGGACTAAATTTGTATGATTTTTGAGATGATAGTTCTCGTTTTATTTTGTAGCACACTTGGTATGCTTTGGCACCTATACAGGGTGGGGCAAAAGTGGGTTTATAGTTGGTTGTATGGGCAATAATACAATAATTAATAAGTAATAATACAAGAATAGCTTTGTGTTTCACCTACTCACAACTGTAAGCCTACTTTTGCCCCACCCTGTATATAGGTCTGGCCCCACGGAGTATAGAAGGCATAGGAGTAGGGTTTCCAGATAAAATACAGGACATTGGGGGTATTCTCTACTTTTATTTGCTAAATCTGGCAACTCTAGACAGGAGGAGATAACCTATCCGGTACTGGTAGAGGCGCTATATGCATATTACTTCCTTTTCCCCCTCATAAACAACCCTGGAAGGTAGGTCTGATTATTCCCACTTCATAGATGAGAAACAGAGGCTTCCTTAGGCTAGACTTACCCAAGATCACCAAGTGTAGAAGAGAAACCAAATCCTGAGTCAAAAACTCAGTCTCTTTCCTGCCATCCCAGACAAAGGCTCTCTTTCTCTGTCCCCCATTCTCTAGGCACAGAAATCTCCCAGGCTCCCTCTTTCTTCCTCTGGAGTCACCTACCTTTAGATCTTTAGAGCAGGTTTCTTTGGGAGTTAAGAGAGGAAATACGGAACACTCTACTTATATTGCCAATGTGGTTTATTATTGTTTCAGTGAGGGAGACTACACAGGGGCCCATGGGTGTTTTAGTAGGAGCATGTTAGAAAGAGCCTGTCACAGGACTTGGGCTTTGGTTGAGTGATTTTGGGAGGGTCTAAGGAAGTGAGGATTTGTTCTGGATTGTCCGCTATCAGGAAGTGAGGTTGATTCTATGATTGAGTAATGAAGTAGCTGTCAGTCATTTAGCCAAAGAGGGGGATTTTGGTATTTTGTGGGTTGCACAGTTACCTTGTTTATATCTGTTTTTAGACAAAATTATGAAGTGGCCTTATTTTGTCTCATTTTATCATGGTCTCAGAGTAACCCTGTCTGAGGTCAGTATTTTGTAACATTGCTTATGTCCAACAGAGAACAAAGCGGCCTGACTGTCCTATCAGATCGGGACATGGGGGGCTACTTTTTTGCGTTCTCAGTATGGATCAGGAAATTTTTAAACTTGCTTCACTGCACCCCAAAGCAACCTCCATTTTCAAAGATAAAGATAATTGGCCTAGGTAGACAGAGAACAATATAATTATAGAAAAGTCAATAAATAGAAAAGAAGACCATGTAACAGATAGATGGGTAAATTACATGAAAGCCAAATCCGTACTGCCTAACTTAGAAGCCACTTAAACCATGGATATCTCAGTTTCCCATCAAATTCCAGGCTTTCTAAGTAGAAAAAAAATCTACTATACAGAAAAAACACACACAAAACGACAGCCTTAAAACAACAAACCAAATTCAAATTCTTGTTTCGAAGAAAAAAAAAAACTTGAAAGGCTCACACGGTTTGGGGGGCATCAAATAATTCATATAAAACACAATTTTGATGAGCTAAGTGTAAATGAATCAGAAACACATGGATTACATTTCTTTTAAATATGGGTTCACAAATTAAGGGAAAAAGTGGTTGGTGAAACTTTGGGTTTACCCAAACCCTAAATGTTTAAAAAACAGCTTTGAGATGTTCTATGAACCCAAATGTGGCAAAGTCCAGCCGTCCCTGTTGTAAACTATTGTGCAAGCTGACAGTTTTGAATTTTATGCCAAGCATGGGGCTTTCTGAAATCTTCTCTTTTTCAAAAGCATCTGTTATTTTTCTTTTTTATGCAATTAGGTGTTTCTGCTGTTTATGTTGAAGAAAATCAGATTCATGTGGAGAGAGAGAAAGGAGAGAGAGAGAGAGAGAGAGAGAGAGAGAGAGAGAGAGGAAAATTAGGCTTTTCATTCCTCATTAAAGACTAGATTTCAAATTTGGACTTATTTATATATATATTCAATTTAATTATTGAGTTTTTTATTTTATTTTCCTGAGGGCTAAATTAAGTTACCCAAAGCGTTAACATATACATCTCTGGAAACTTGAGCTTCTTAAACTACTTGTTCACAAACGAGGTAGATGTAACGGCCTTGCATATGGACTATCACAGAAAGGCCTATTTGTCACTGTGTGCTGCAGAGCAGCCAAGACCAACCTTCATTCTCAAGGGAGCAACATTCCCATTCCGTGCAAGTGTAAACTCGCAGGCATCCCTGAGACCACTTCTGTGTAACATGGAATTGAACTTATCAACTAATGCCTCAGGATAGCCCAATATCTTGGACCGAAAAACCTAATATAGAGAGAATCTGTCCTGCTTCCGTTTTGCCATCTCAAAATGTAAAATGTGAATAATTCTAGGACCTCCCACATACTCCTATTGTAAGGATTAATCCTTTAATTCTGAAAAAGCTCAGCCTGGTGCCTGTCACATAGTAGGTGCAGGAAACGTGTTGATAATTATGATGTCCATTGTAATAAGTACCCATCGCCCCTCCTCGTGCTTCATTGGTGGGAGAGTAATAGAGAGTAAGGATAACGCTTTCATGAGAAAATGTCTCAATTTAGGCGCCGATCTGGCCTTGCCAACTGACTGCAAATGACTACAAAGCATATGCTAATGTAAAGTGGTATCAAAGACTGTTTCTTCCTGGATATGCTAACAAGTACAGGCACCCTCAATGGCATCCAAACAAGAGAAATGTGAATGGTTTATAAAAATCACAAAAACAGCAGCCGCATTCATCTCTCGCAGCTCATGCCACTGCCCTTTGCACCTGTCCCAGCGGTGACTCAACGGGGGCTCAATGAGAGTTAGGCCGGTGCCAGGATAGGACCCTCATGGAATGTTTCCTTGCCTTTTAATCAGAGCTGAAAGCCCAGAAATTCAACCTCTGCATGTTATAATTCAAAAATTAGTAGCATTGATGGGAATGACAGTGGAACCAGGAAGTCAATCTTAGATTGTGCATTTTCCTCCCTCTCTACCTTTGTTCCTAAGCTATTTAGTTATAAGGTAAAAAAAAAAAACTAAGACAACCCAAACAAGTGGGAGCAAGTGATTGGAGAACTGGGGTTTTCAAAACTACGATTTATAGGAGAAATCAGCTGCATCACTTTAGGTTGGTGGTTCCCCTAAACCTTATACCTTAGGGCAATACTCAAGGTCACCTGAAAATTTATTTCTCCCTATTTCTTATTCAAATTCAAATAAATGTATTTCTATTTCTTCTCATATGCTTTGGACTTTAAACTTATTCCATCTGTTATTCCTGAAAAAACAGAAATAATTATTACATTATTATGCATACTTTCCATTAGGTATTAAATATTTCATGATAAAATCTCAGACCAACTAACAAATACACACATAGGCTGTGCCTTCTGGTCTCTGGCACACCCTCTGCCTGGGACTCGTTAGAATCCTACAGTCCTTCAAAATCACATTTTACCTTTTCTGGGAGACTATTCCCAATCTCTCCAGCTGGATTTCATATTTTCCTCCATTACATTTCCCCTTACTATGTGTATACCTTTATTATAATGCAAATCTGAATCTAGTACTTCCTTGTTTAAAATCCCTAACATTCTCTCCATTGCTTTTCAGACAATGTAGGTTCTGACTTCTTAAGCTCTACCCTCTGGCTTTTCTCTGTCTTTGTGCAGGGTCTATGCCTCAGCTAACTGATAGGTAGTATATTGTCTCTGAGTCTTTGAATTTGCTGGCTCTTCTGGCTGTAAACACTTGCTCCTCACCTCCACCTCCCACTTCACCTTCAGATCTCCAGTAGATACTACTTCCTCTCTGGAACCATTTCTAGTAGTTCCCACATCACAGCATTTAATCACATGCCTTACAGTTGCCTATTTATTTAGCATCTCCAGTGGGCTCCAAGCTCCCTAGGGACAAAGGCAGGGTCTGTCTTGTTTATGGCTGAATTCCCATTGTAAAGAACTAAATATGTACTGAATGGAATGTAGAACTTATCACACCTTGGGTTTTTGACTCTTATTACAAAGTTCTTGAATATAAAAATTTGTGTTGTTGTTGTTTTTTCTCTCTTTTCTGTGTTCCTTGGCTCTATCAACCAGGAGATGGTTAACCTTGTCCCTTTCTTCTTTCATTTGGCCAAACAGTTTGAAGGGAGAGAATGAAACTTGGAGATAGGGCCTTGGTCCTAGGAGGCAGGAAGGGTTTGGATCAGCTGTTGGGTGTATGTGAATGTCTGAGAATACAGAAGGAATGAACAGATAAACACCGAACAGGGTTAATATTTGGGTAGTGTGTGGGAAATAATGGCCCTGCCTCTCTTTAAGGCTACTTCCATATGATAAAAGTGGTAAATACACTTTCCATTTTCTTAAAAAAAACATCCATTTTGAGATGCTATATTTTGAAAGCCAAATCTTAAGTTATGAAACTCCACGTTGGCTTTTAAAACTGTTTTTACAATTTTCTTATCTCTAAAATCAGTTTGGATTTGAGCTGGGTAGAGTTCTGTTCACTATTTCTGCCCCTTGGGGCTGCGGAACAAGACTGGTTTCTTTTGCCTGATTCAAGTGCCCATGGTGGTGGTTCTAAACATTCCTGGGCTGGGCAGGGCTAGTTAGCTGAGGTGCCCTGCATTCCAACTGTCCAGCAGCTGGTAAATCAAGTTGTTTTTTTTTTGTTTCCCTGCCCTCCCCTCCCCCCAAAGCACTTCACATGTATAGAATTAACTTCTCTTAGAAACAGGACACCCTTTTCGCTGACCCATAAGTAGGCACAGAGGAAAGGGCAGCAAATAGAAATGGAAAGTAATGGACTCCCTCTGTTGGGCCAGCAGGTACGCGCAGTAGACGTTAGGAGAAAGCTTTACCGCATCCACCAGCATCTGCTGCTGCAGGAGAAGCTGCTGTTTCTGCTCCAGGATCTGCCTCTGTAGAGTCTGTTTCTTTCCCATCAATTGCTGATTCAACAGTGATTGCTGGGAGTTCATGTAACCGCTTCCAGTGTTTGGATTTGAGCAGGGGTTGGGACTTGGACTGGGGCCTGTGCTCTGGCCTACCACAGAGTGTTGATCCTAAAGAAGAGAAAGGAGGGAGAGAGCTACTGTGAGTTGAAAGAAGCAAAACATATCACAAAGATCATAAGCTGAGATTCCGAACATTTTTCATCTTGTTAAGATCAAACATGGTGAACGGGTTGGAGATCAGAGAATTGCTTTCTAAGTGTAGAAGAAATAATTGCCTATCACGGCAGCCGAAGCAGCTGGGTCAGTGACATGAGGGCCCTGGAAAAGCTCCCCTAGGACTCTGGTGGGGGAACCTCCACATTCCAGAAGGTGTTTATGGAACCTCAAAGAAAACGACCATAAAAACATATGGCCAACCTCGCAATTGCTCAGGAACAAACACATCATAAAGTAACAAGTTCTCCCTTTTCCCTAAGGTTAGCACATATCAATGCTGATCCTGCAAAGAAAATTAGGTTTCGATTCACGTGTTTAAAATTTGAATAAGCATTTTGAACAGAAGGGGCCTCGCTGGCGATGAAAAGGCAGGAAGGCCTGTGACTTCTGTTTTACAAACACTCCCAAACTTGAAAAGGACTTCATTTTTCATAGTCTTGTTAATTTCGTTCCCTGGTCAGTAAGTCAGAAATCTCAGTGCATAAGTAATATAAGAGCACCCAACTGGCTGGCAATGAGAAAGTACTGACTGAAAACTCACATCGTATATGAAATAATACTGGGCACTAGTGAATCGACATTCTAACTTATGGTCTCTACCAATCTTTAGGCATTGACAGGTCAGGACCCTGCAGTGGAGAAAGCCAAACCCAGCCAAATACATTCATTAACTTACGATGATGTGTTTAGAATTGAGCTGTATACTGTTGGGGTTACAAGAAAACTAGAAAGCATTGTCCTCACCTTGGAGACTTTATCATCTAACTAGAGGCCTGGTGCACAAGATTCATGCACTCGGGGTGGGGGGGTCCCTCAGCCTGGCCTGCACCCTCTCACAGTCTGGGAGCCCTTGGGGGATGTCCAACTGATGGCTTCGCCCCACGGGAAGCAGGCCTAAGCTGTCAGTTGGACATCCTTAGCGCTGCCTGAGACTCCGGCTTCTGGCTGAGTGGCACTCCCCCTGTGGGAGCGCACTGACCACCAGGGGGCAGCTCCTGTGTTGAGCATCTGCCCCCTGGTGGTCAGTGCACGTCATAGCAGCCGTACGTTCCACCCGTTCTGTTCGGTCGATTTGCATATTACCATTTTATTACATAGGATTAAGAAAGAACTGACAGACTTACATGTAGAAATACAAGCAAATATAGGATCAAGTTTTAGATTGTATGATACAAGTGCGAAGTCAAAGATGCCCTGGCTTTGCTCCAGAAATTCTGAGGCTGTGGATCGGGTACCTGCTCAGATGATTCTAATGCCCATTGGCCCAGGGAATGCTCTTTGAGAAACACTGGCTATGTGGGAACAATGAAATCCAACTCTCATTCCCCAACTGGACTGTGTGAGGGCACAAGAGCTTAAAAAGATAAAGCAACTCTCAGGATGCCTGGCAAGCAGTAGTCGTCTAGTAAGTAGTCTCTTCCCTTTTATCTCTTTCTCTTTCTTTCCTTAACTGCTGAGTTTTTAAAAAAGCCTGGGATGTAGGAAGTAAGGCCTTGCTTTAGGAATCCCTAGGGCTAAAGAACTCACCAACTGCCCTCAAAAGCAAAAGGATACACAGTAATCTTAAAGGTGACCATGCACTAGTCTTATTGCAGGCCAGTCACCGTGCCCAACACTTTACTTGATCTCTCTCATTTATTCCTCCCAACAAAACAATGAGCAAGAAGTAGTATCATCCCAGCTTTGCAGCCCAGAAACCTCAGCTCAGAGAGATCACGCAGCTGTACGTCCTGGAGGAGGATTTGAAGCTGGGTCTGTCTGAGTCCAGAACTCCAGTTCTCAATCACTATACTCTGTGTTTTTGTTTTTTTTTTTTTAAATATATTTTATTGATTTTTTACAGAGAGGAAGGGAGAGGGATAGCGAGTTAGAAACATCGATGAGAGAGAAACATTGATCAGCCACCTCCTGCACACTCCCCACTGGGGATGTGCCTGCAACCAAGGTACATGCCCTTGACCGGAATTGAACCTGGGACCCTTGAGTCCGCAGGCCGACGCTCTATCCACTGAGCCAAACCGGTTAGGGCTACTCTGTTGTTTTGCAGTTGAGATGAGAAGTGTCGAGGAGAAAGATGTTCATACTTTAAATCTGTGCCAACCCATCTGTGCACAAAGCAAATGCTTGTTGAGCCCTTTCCTCAGGGGTGAGGCCCTTAATCAGGCACATGGAAGGGAGTATATTGGGGAGAAGGACAGGGGTGTGGGGACGGGGAGGGGGATTGGTCTTCCTCACGAGTTAATTTAAAACAATTAAAGCCATCTCTGAGCAGCTTAAAGGAACCATCCTCTCACATATCTGAACCCAATGTCCAGTGAGTTCTCTCAACTTTACATCCATTATGGCTTTTGGGAAAGATTTCACCCCACATGTCCTACAAGCCCCTAAAAGTGTGGACTGGGAGACAAGCACGTGAGTGTCATTAACAGAATGGTAGTCGATCAAGGATCTGTGAGTTGAGTGCTCTTGGAGGGCAAATGGAGAAGAAAACATATGAAGACTGCATGTTGAATCTTAGGTCCACCCACACCAATGAGGGGAAAGCAGAGCTGTGACAGGGAGAAAGAGATGAGGTCAGAGAAGCAGAAAGACAGCCAGTCACGTTGGAGAAGTCAGGGTGAGAATGCACTGGAGGCAGTGGCTGACCCTCCACTCTTCACTGTAACCTGAATAGAAAGAGTCTGCTCTTTTCTCTGATATAATTTGGAGTTTAGCGCAAGACTATGTGAAAAGAAGATTTTGTGTTTTCAAAATACGGTTGACAAACATACGTAGAAAATTTAAATTCACTTTTCTTTCAGCCTTCTTTGCCGGGCCATGCCGTAGACAAAACCATGAGCTTTAGCGACAGGCCTGCCGTGATTCACATCCCAGTTCTGGCTCTTATTAGCTGTGTGATCTGGGAGAAGTTAATTCATGTTCAAAAGCCTCCATTTCCTTATCTGTCAAATGGGAACAACAGTCTCTGAGAATTAGAGGACATAATGCAATGCCCAAAATATTCAGCAGTAGTAAGCACTGGATAAACAATAGCTATTCATAATTGTTAAAGTTATTTCAACATAAAGGAGTAAGAGTCTGTTTGTTTGTTGTGAAGCAAGGGATATAGATAGGCCTTGCAGATGGCAGAAAGGTGTTCTGTGTCAACTCTATCAGAAATGTTATGGTTTCAGTTATGTTGTAGATCGTGAGCTATCTGTGGAATTACCTCCATCCTCCTACCTGGGAATGTCAGAAGATGAGTTGAATGTCATTATCTGATGGACTGTCTTTTGGAGTGTGCTTCTTTCATTTGGGTTACGAGCTCAGCTCAGCGCCCTGCTACTTTGTTCCTTGCTGTGCTTGTGTGTGTGTGTGTGTGTGTGTGTGTGTGTGTGTGTGTTGTTATTGTTGTTAATCCTCACCCAAGGATATTTTTCCACTGATTTTTAGAGAGAGGGGGAGAGACAGAGAGAAAGGAGCTTCAATGTGAGAGTCACATCCATTGGTTGCCTCCCACACAGCCCCAATCAGGGCCTGGAATAGAGCCGCAACCCAGGTGCGTGCCCTTGACCAGAATCGAACCCAGGACCCTTCAGTCCATGGGCTAATGCTCTATACACTGAGCCAAACCAGCTAGGGCCTGTTTTTTAATTTTATTTCTTTCTTAACATTTAATTATATTAGAGAGTACCCAATATACATTTACTAAGTATTGTACCTTAATGTCATTTATAAAATGAGGTAATTCTATTCATGATATAAAATTAGACCAAATGAAATTCAGAACTGATCCAGGAACTTAGTAGGTGCTTGATAAATCTTAGCAATTAATATTTTTCTTATTACTTATTGTTGTATTATTTCACATATGACAGATGGTTCAGGAACAATGATCTCTCTGAAGGAGCTTCTGCTGTAAGAAGGGTACTTGGATTGCAGGTGTGTGGCTCCCATCATGCTTTAAACACAGGTTGGCCCTTGCTTTCTCCAGTTGGCCACACTCTCCACTATTCCCTGTTTTATTTTATCCACCCATTTTACTCATTTCTATTACTTACGTAACCCATGTAGGCATTTGAAGTTATGATCTCTGGCTTATAGCTTACCTGGGAATCTAAGAAACACACTTCACTTCCCCACATGTGCACTCACTCAAAGTCATTACAGTAAAAAGCAATGCATAACAATTTCCATTAGGTGATATGATACCTACTAGTGCCTTAAAATTAAAATCCAGACCTCTTTTTTTTAAAAAAAATATATTTTATTGATTTTTTACAGAAAGGAAGGGAGAGGGATAGAGAGTTAGAAACATCGATGAGAGAGAAACATTGATCAGCTGCCTCCTGCACGCCCCCCACTGGGGGTGTGCCCACAACCAAGGTACATGCCCCTGACCGGAATCGAACCTGGGACCCTTGAGTCCGCAGGCCAACGCTCTATCCACTGAGCCAAACCGGTTCTGGCAAAATCCAGACCTCTTAATGCCTAGTCTAGTTACCCATGATGAATTTGATAAATTTTACTGAATATCTACTATGTGCTAGGCAATTTTCTATTTTTTTAAGATTAAAAAGTATGTAGAAAGGGGAAAAATGAAGAGAAAGAGTGCTTAATGTGGGCACCATTGGTAAACGTCATCAAAATAATTTCCAGTGGAATCTGTAAACCACACTCCTCTAAGGTTTATAGGAGATCTGCAAGCCAAGAAAACACAAGCATATCTCTTTCTCTCTCTAATCAAACAGATGGACTGTGCTAAATCTAGTTTCATTCCTTCCCAATACCAAAAGATAGAAACATAAGAGATAAGCTCTCCTATGGAATTTTGTGGAACATTTTTAAACCTTGTAGCTTCTAGCCCTGGGGCCTTCCCATGGACTCTACCATACACATTCTTACATTCTTTT